CTATAAGCAAAGTTTCATGGTATAACTATTTGTCAATTAAGAAATAATTAAGAGATTTCTCCATATTTGTACTATGATACCTATTTTAAATTCATGTACGTCCTTATGCTTGCTAATATTCTACAGATTATTGTGTCGATTTCTATTATACTCTAGCAGCTATATAACAGAAAGTGTTGTACTCAGGAAAAATATGATGGTTAGCATCTGTGGTTGGGCAAAAGAGTTGATTGCATTTTTGAGGTATGTAATTGGCCAAAGGTGTAACCTTTATAATGACTAGTGGTTGAACGTCATATTTAAATGGACCATTAATCTAACTGACCTATATACATTTTTTTTGCAACCATAACTGAAATAAATGCAACTTCACCATAGCATAGGTCTAAATGTTTTTTTAAATTTTTTTTAAAATCTTATACTTTCAAGCAGACAGCAGTTGTTGAGATGGAGAGATCAACAATTCAACTCTTTTCTATTGTACAAATCCCGAAGAAAGAATAAATTACATATAGTCACAATATTTATATTTATTTATATTTAATTTTATTTATATGCCGCCCAATCCCAAAGGACTCATAGTAATCTTGTTAAAGAGCAGATATCATCCAGTGAAAATTGAGGACATGTTACATATTGCAAAACAGCTATATTGAAAATCTATCTCTGTAGAAATTAACATGACCTTCATCTATAAATGCAATGTACATGAACTGGGAGATTTCAAACAATGATATATCCAAGAGGAGGCTTAAAATAGGCATGATATTAAAGTAGGACAAAGAAAAGGTTTCTCTAATCATTCTATAGCCCCTGCTGTCTCACCTGAAGGGCTCTGATAAATGATTGTCCAATCTCTGTTTGAAGACCTCCAGGGAAGAAGAACTTCTTTCACCTGGCAGCCTTTAACCATTCCTCATAATGCTTGGTTTCTAGATATTTCACGACTGCCTTAGCATTCCTCTGACTTGCTATACAAATTGGTACTTTTTCAGATGTGGTGCCCATTTTCAAAGAAATGTGGTCTGGTAGAGGAAAATGGAATAATTACTTCCCATAACCTGGCTTGGTGTTCTGTTAATGCATCCTAGATAGTATTTATTTTTTTAGCACATGGTTAACTCTGTTATCTCAAGCTTAACTTGTGGTTGACAAGGACACCCAAATCCCTTTCATACCTATTATTGCCAGGCCAGGCCAGGTTTCACCATCCTTTACTTATGCTTTCAGCTCCTAATATTCCTTTTTCCTTTGGATTTTAACTGCTTTCCTGATTATTAGAGACACAAAAGCTTGCAATTGTTTTGCAAATCTTCAGTTGGGCTCTAATTGCATCAATATGGCTTTTGGATGCAATGTACCAGTTAATTAAATGTCCAATTACTGGACAGCCAATATAAGTAGGCTGTTTTTTAAGAGCCATATTTATTACATGTTCTAAAAATGTTTTCAAGTCAACTGTTTTCTAAACATTTCAAAGTCCTAAATGTAGATGAAACATTAATTTAACTGATTCTTTGTTCTTTGAGCTAGCATTGAACAAGGAATATGAGTCAGAGTATATGAGTTTTTTAATGTTTGCTATTAAACATCTGTTTTTATTTATATAATACTATACAATATTAAGGATATAGAAGAGGGCATACTGACTCATTTGTAAATAATTTTTCAAAAGGAAACTGCTATTATCATGCTCTTTCCCCTACCTTCACTATTTTGTACCTTTTTCAAATACTTAATTTCAATAAAGTTTACCTAAGAAAGTTTGTTACATTAAAATTTGCTGGTCACAGGAATTCTTTCTAGCTTATTCACAAAATTGCTACTAATCCCATCTAACACTCCTTCAAGATCAGTGAGTTCTACCAGAAACTGTTAAAGAACTAGGTATATATACCGTAGCTTGCAGAAGAAAAGATTAAAAGGGAACATGATAGGGTTCTTTAAATATCTGAAGGGCTATCATATTTTAGAGGATTTGGACTTATTCTCACTTGCTCCAGAAGGTAAGACTAAAACTAATGGGATGGAACATCAAGGATGTACCGTGTTTCCCCCAAAATCAAACCGGGTCTTCTTCTTCTTCTTCTTCTTCTTCTTCTTCTTCTTCTTCTTCTTCTTCTTCTTCTTCTTCTTCTTCTTCTTCTTCTTCTTCTTCTTCTTCTTCTCTTCTTCTTCTTCTTCTTCTTCTTCTTCTTCTTCTTCTTCTTCTTCTTCTTCTTCTTCTTCTTCTTCTTCTTCTTCTTCTTCTTCTTCTTCTTCTTCTTCTTCTTCTTCTTCTTCTTCTTCTTCTTCTTCTTCTTCTTCTTCTTCTTCTTCTTCTTCTTCTTCTTCTTCTTCTTCTTCTTCTTCTTCTTCTCTCCTTCTACTTCTCCTTCTCCTTCTCCTCCTCCTCCTCCTCCTCCTCCTCCTCCTCCTCCTCCTCCTCCTTCTCCTTATCATCATCATCATCATTATTATTATTATTATTATTATTATTATCTGCCTCCAAAAGAGGCACCAGGTCTTATTTTCAGGGGATGTCTTTAATACTCATCTCCAGCACCGATAGCCCTGCTCAGCCAGTCCACTTCTTCTGGATAAAGGAACAGCTTCATTCTGCAGCTGTATTCCAGCCTGCATTTCACAATCAGGCCTTTCTGGAAGACCTATACATTCAATCCATAGCTTGGTTCTCAGCTGCAGTGGCCCTCTGAAAAGGCCTGTGGCTACGAAATGCAGGCCTGATTGCAGAAGACCCTGCAGAAGAAGTGGGCCGGCAAGGAGAGGCCTGGCTGCAAGATAAGTGGGTGCAGGGCCTGTGGGACAGCTCTACACCCCCACCCTTGTCCTAGCTTGATTTTTAAGTATGTGCCTTACCCCAAAACTAGAGCTTATTTTTGGGGTAGGCCTTACTTTTGGAGAAACATGATATATATAGATTAGATAATTGGAAAGAACTTCTTGACAGTAAGAACAGGCACTCAGTGGAATCGGTGACAGCAAAGAGCCACTTCTTCCCCTTTACTGGAGGTTTCAAACAGAGACTGGATAGTCAGCTATTGGGTATAATGTAGCAAATCCTGCTGTTGTTGGACTTCACCGCTTAAATCCCTTCCAATTCTATGATGCTATGAATTATGTGAAGTGGACAATTCATTTCCATCAGTATTTCTCAGTTCCAACACTAACATTTCTGAACATATCTGATAATTTTAATGAGGGAGGTTTGTATTAACATTCATTGAGCTTTACAAGATGTACAAAATTTTCAAACATTCAGGTTTGAAATATCTTGATTTTGAAACATTCCAGTCCAATCTTGCTACAAATGTTTCAACATTAAAACAGTTTGTTCTAACTTTACCAGTTATGTTCTGACCTCAAAAACAAAAGTGTTCCAACCACCAAATTAAGGTTAGAATGGCTCATTTTCAGGTCAGTCTACTTCTGAAAAGGTAAAGTTAGAACAAGCTCTTCTGTCATCAAATTATTTCCATTGAGATTGAAACATTCAGTTCCATAGTTGGAACAGGCTATTTTAGAGGCGTTTCAACCTTGAAATGTTTTGTACACCTCTTTATAAAATATATTGCCAGCAGTGGTAGAATTCCACATATTTGTAGTGGTATGAATTGAAATTGTTATACATAACTGAACCCCATTATATTTTCAAGTTCCTTTTGTCCATTCCATTCAAAGAAAATATCATGGAAAAATGTTTATAAATTCATTAAACAAAAATTGCATAGAGAAAAGCCCAACTGTGATCCTAAATGCGTATACTTCTGTCAGTAAATGTGTTAGCAGAAAAGCTAAGCAGAATATAGAACCTCTTTTCAGATATCAGTATTATTTTGGGGGGCAAATTAAGTACACTTTTGAACCAACATGATTGCAGCATATTATTAGTAATAGTTTTTTCCTCATCTCCCTGCACATGTGTAGTCAATCTATAGTAGAATAGAATAAGAATAGAATAGAATAATAACTTTATTGTCACTTTGAATGTAAACTAATTGGCATACATTAAAATGAAATTCCATTTCATACAGCTCTCAAAGGGTCACCACCTCCAATATACACTACATAAATATGACATAAATAAATACAGAATTATGCATATACCCACATATATTATATGACACAGAGAAACAACATAGTCTAATTTGGATTATGTATACTTGTGCATGGCATAGGGAAAAAAGCTATTACAGAATCGGGTAGTCCTGCTAGAAATGCTTCAAAACCTCCTCCCAGAGGGGAGCAACAGAAACAGACTGCAAAGTAGATTGTGGGGTCTCTAACAATGCTTTGAGCTCTAAGCACATAGCGCATAAGCAGCATCCTGAATACTAGGAAGCAAGCTTCCTATGATCTTCTTGGCTGTCCTTACCAATCTCTGTCCTTACCTTCTATCTGAGGCACTGCTGCCACCAAACCAGACAGTGATGCAGTTTGTTAAAATGCTCTCAATCGTGCCTCTGTAAAAAGTGGCCAGGACAGAAGGAGAGAGATGTGCTCTCCTCATCTGATGCAGGAAATGCAGACGCTGGTTTGCATGCTTCACTAAGGATGATGTATGGAGAGACCAATTCAGATTTAGGATTTAATAGATGTTTAAAAACTACCTTGTTTAATTCCTAATGAAATCAAAGTTATTTAAACATTTGTATCAGATCTCTGGTATTCCTTTTACCTTCGATATTTTAGGTCTCCAGTATAAAGCATTGCATTTGGGTTCTGGGACTAACTTTGGATTTAATTTTTGGAGAGAACTATATTAAAACATACTCATATACAACATTTCTTAAATACATGCTAGATAATTCTAATCACTTATATTTTCCAGTCTTCAATTTTCAACTGGACATCTTGCAAAATTACATGTGGCAATTATCTATTGATTTTTTTCTAGTTTTATTACTAGTTTTACTCTTCCATGCTTTAAAACTGTTTTTGTAATATCTGTGTTTATTTCTAAATAATTCTCTAAGTAATTTGGATTCTGATTTTTGCAGATCATCTGAAAGAAGAGATAATCCAGCGGCACATGCAAAAGGCAGCACAAGGTAAATATAATATTCCAGGATAAAGTGTTTCCCCCCCCCATGACATTTGTTTGTAGACGTCACATGGTGTTAATCTTGGGGCAGGGGTCTATCATGTTGTTATAGTTCATGCAACAAAATTTTCACATCTTCTTCCCTCACTGTAGACAAATGTCCCACCATACTCACATTAGCAATACTGTAGCTGCAGAAGATTTAGTTCTTTAAATTTCACTAGGGCTGCTCTTTATTGCAAGTTATGGAGTTAATCATCTGAGGCCATTTGGGTCATGCTGATTTATGCCTAGTTTTGTTTTTGTTAAACATTATCCTGGGATGAACTGTGACACTACAATCTGTGTGAGCAGATTAAAAAAAGCAAGTGCAAACAATATGTTTGCAAGCTTCCCCATAAACACATGGAGCCTTTTCAATTGTTTATTTTCTCATTCTTCTCTGAAACTGATGTGGGAAATACTACATGGAATAAATGTTAAGTAATCTGTTTCAGGACCACACATAATTGGCAATTTTGAGCAGATATTGACCATATAATAATTTATGTGCCATTAGTATAATTTGGTAAACTTCCTTTACATATCCTTTATATATATCAATGGGAAATCATAGAGTTTCATATGTTAATAGCAGACATGTAGTTGTTTTGCTAATTTTGCATCTTCAAGGATTGTTTTTTTAAAGCTTATTCATCCTTTTAAATTTATTGTAACACTATGGGTTGATATTTATTGTGTGATTTAAGTATGGTCATTTGCTTATTGTTCTCTGGGAATGAAATCAGGTATCTAAACTTCTGATTTATTTTGATAACTATAAAAGTATGAGATAATAATAAAAGAAACTCTTTTTAGTAAACATAACTATATTTTAAAATCGCAGGATAAAATTCAAGATAATGTTTCCATTGGGGATCTTGATGTTAATGTTTTTAGCTATCTTCTTTATTTATTTTATGTGCTTTTCTTGATGGAGACAAATTACAAACATTTTTAATAATAGCAATCTCTTTTCCCAGTGGAATATCCTTAGGATGCAGAATTCTCATTTAAAAATAGTTTTATATTCAGCCTTTTCTGTTTTTTAGAAAGATGATTTATCTAGAGATTCTTCTCATGCCTTCTCTGCATGCCAGATGACTATTGGTCAGATAAATTATTGGCATTTCCTAGTAACATACTACTGCAAGATATTATTGTATCTACTCCCATTCTCAGAATACAGAATAAAAAGTATTGTGGTCCCACTCCCAGTCATTAGAAGGGCTAAGAATAAACTATAATTGTATCAAAGTTACAAAAGGAAAATTTCCAAAGATTTGTTCTGGATCACAAAATAAATCCAACATTTACTAAACGTTGGTTAATATTAGGATTCTAGATTACATTGACAGTTTTTTCTCTCTCTGACCATAGATAGGTAGTGGTTAGTGCAACATTTTTGTATCTAGTTACATTGACTAGCAGGAGACAGGCATTACATGACTGATTTTGTGCCAGGTTTCTTAGAGTTCAGTTCCTGGTTGAGGATCTGAAGCTCATAACATAACATCTACCTACCCATGTCCCCTAAGTTCAAATTGTATAAGACTGGTCACATAATACCTCTCACCTCCTGGCGAATAAAATAGAAAACAACACAAGAGATATACAGTGTGTAAAAATAACAAAATTTTCTTCTCCCTTCTAGTTGGTGGTAGTGGTGGAACTAATATAGAGGCATTGCATAATGATACATTTTTATTATTGTGATCTGAGGGTTAAGGGAAGATGAACTGTGTATACCATTTTGATAATTTTATGTCTAAAAGATCTGTGGGTGTGTGGAAAGCTAATGAAGTTCTGAGCCCAGCCAGTTAAGTCCTAGACTAGTCTGTCACAGATATTGGTTGCTACGCAGATTGAGATAATTAGTTAAATACAACTAGAATTTTGACCAAGAAATGAGGAAACTTTTATCTTTGGATGTCCTCATCTATTGGGGGCTACAGGTCCCTAGTGGATAGGATTAAAGCAAGCAAAAGTTTCTTTAATATAAATATAGCTTCTCTTTCTGAGGACCCTTCTTCTTTCTTTTGATTCATCTTTTTTCTATGTCTGATACTCTCTTATTTCACTTGTGATGAGCAGCAACAGAAGGGGCAGTTTTGTAAAATGCTTTTAAAACTCAGCTAAGAGCTATGTTAAATTAGTTGAGAGATATATATGGTCCTAAGGTTGCAGATTATTCAGTCCAGTTTACACTAAAAAAATTGAAAGCCTTTCTCTAGTGTTTATTAATATTTTTGTGATATATTTATATATTATTGCAAAACATTTTCATTTCATTATCAGAGATTATTTTAGTATGTTCCTGTAAAGGGCATTCCTCCTGCAATAAGGACACTTTATCAAATATGGAAATTCATGTGAACTCATTTTTTCCCTGATTTTTATTGAACAAGTGAACATGGTCACATGCAATTCAGAAGCCAAGGGGAAGTTACTGTGGAGCACCAATATGGGGGAGGCCAAGCAACACGCTAAGTAGTGATGGTGGTGCATGTGAAGATTGAATGGGAGTTGGATTTATCTCAGGATTTCACAGTTAATTTCATTTCAGGGCTATAGTACATTCTGCTCTTTTGGATATTTGTCTTTCAAACTGAAATAATAACAATCCACATCTGTCTGTGTTAGTTAAATATTTACAGCTATTGCTTATAATCACTTTCAATTGTGACTCCTAGAGGCATTTTAGAGCATTCCTCCTATATAAAAAGGGGAAAAAATATTTCCCAATATTTCTGTAAGTGTAGAATAAAGCAGTTGGCATTATTTATCCTTAACAGTTTCTCTTGGAATTCTGAAACTAAAATAATAGGTTCTTCAGATGATGTTTGTTAAGAACATAGATTTTCCATTCATTTTGAATAAGATTTTGGTAACATATCTGGATATGCACCTCAAAACATTCCATGAATATTTTGCCTTAGGGAAAAATTGAATTTATTCCGACTGATTTAAATCTTAAGAGGTTCATATTTCTTTAGTGCCATAGCAAATGAGTTTATTGGCAGGAAATCTGCAAAAACAGCGATGCGAGAAAAAATAAAATGGCTTAGAAAGTAAATTTACTTCATTAAAATAATTGCTTGTGTGTTAAACTTGAGTTGAACATACTAATTCATGATACGGGGCAAGGGTGGGGAGCAATATGTTCATGTATCCTATAAAAATAATTGTAATAACTATGTTATTCAATTACATATATGAAAGTAATTGTTAATCTGTTATAATTAATAATTATAATTATTATTAAATTTATGTGCCATCCATCTTGCAGATTGCAGGGACTCTGGACAGCTTACAGTATAATTAAATATGTTACCCAATAATTTTGATTTACTGGAATAGAACTGAGAAAGCTGGCATTCTGGGACAAGGTCAATGAGAAGCTAAGTTAGCAAAGATGCTAATGGCTTTACTAGTCAGTGTTCATGTCTATCGATATAGTGTTCACAGTGATGTTTACAACAATCAGCTTCAACCTGGCATTTTCCACATGTATTGAGACTGCAATTCCCAGAAGTTACAGCCAGAATGGCAGGGTTTTTAGAAGTTAAATTTGCATCAGACTTGAGGAAGATTATTAAGTACATTAGAATATTTATTAAAATTCTGCCCATTAGTGGAAATTTCAACAGATTTAAAATATAAAATGAATTAATTATAAAGGCAAGGCAAAGATGAATGGAAGTGTTCCTCTGAATTTTATATATAGCTCTACTTTTGTAGCTCATGTCAAATTTCAGAAAAAAATTATGGCTGCCTCAGCACTTGCCAAGTGTATGGCAAGTCTTCCTCATTTGGCTGCCATTGGAGATAATGCTTTGGATCTAATGAATAGATACTTTGAGGAAACAAAGATGGTTAAAATTCCTTCCTGTAATTATATTATCAAGTTATAATATCACATCTTTCAATAAAGAAAAATTATCTAATCTTAAATGATATACATTTGCAAATTGCATACTTTATTAGATAACCCAGATACTTTTCATTTTAATAGATTTACCAGTTTCATCTAGGCAAATGGACCACTTCTGATATAATTGCGGATAAATTCTAATGGCTAGTTAGATATATAAGCATATCAACTACTGTAGTTGCTCAGAGGTGAAGATTATTATCTAAAAGTTCAATCTTGAGGTAGTATCTAAAGACACATGTATATTTATACAAAAAACATTGCTTCATTGTAAATTCAGATTAAAGTTGATATCTCCGAAGCCTTTGAAAGTTCCATATAACTGTATTACAGTCATTTTTAAATTTTTAGCAATTCAAAATGTCAGCCTCATTAAATTAATTTTTGCATAGTATTTATAATTTCAGCTGAAGTGTTTCCCTCCTAATTTGTTCTATTTTTTTCTTTGCATCTCTGATACATTCTTTCCCAGTCTTCATTGCTATATCCTTCCTTTCCCTTTCCCTTTTTCTTTTTGTTATCAACTACTTTATCACTTCTTCCTCTTTTATCTTCTTATCTTCTAGTTCCTACTAACAGTCTTAACTAGTAATGTCCAAACATTGGTTTAGTGTTTCATCTACTCTTTGTTTAAATTAGGTGGTCGTATCTCTCCCTCCCTCCTCTGTCTTTCCTACTCCTTCCTACCCACATATCTCTCTGAACCTCCATTTGTTTTTCCTGTCTCTCTTTCCCCAGTATTGTTCTGTTTCTTTTCAATTTCTGTTTCTGTAACTAAGTTATATATTTAATTATTTAGTTTAAGTCTGGAGTGATAACTAGAATGTAAAACAGGCTGGAAAACTGGTACCAACTCCACTGCACATGTCTCAGTTTAGAAAGAAGATAACATTGCAATCTGAGCCTTCTCCCATTCACATTGTACACTGGATTGGCTAGGTAAACCTCAACATGTTTCTGTAAAGATGTAGGGGAGGACCATGAACAAATAGTGTTGTGGGATCACAAAGAGATTGAACAGGGCCCCAACAAAAATGCTGCAGATCTTAGGTTCAGCAGGTCTAATTTATAATACTCTTGAAGTTGAAATTTGGTGAGGTTAATGTTATTTTACTGGCATAGTATTCTCTAAATAAATATCCTTTCCAGTTGGTGATTGGCCAAGTTCTAAGAATGTTGCTGCTGAAAAATAGTTGTGATAAAATCTAATAACTATGTTGTGGTTTTTTATTCGGGCATAAATGAAAAGCAGAACAGAAAAACAACTTAAAATCTTATATACTATGGACTTGTATATCTTAGATTCATACAAAATGTTCCTGATGCAGGGAAAGTTAGGCACTTTCCAAATGTAACTTTTTCACACATGTGGCCATAAAAATGTCTCAAAACTATTCCTTTTTTTTTTTAACTCTTTGAATCTCTTTCAAAGGTTTTGGGAAAGACACTGTTTCAACCAGATGCAAGAACATTGCAGTAATAGGGCTGTTTTAATCATCTTGAAAGAAGAAGGAACAAAGACTAATTCCTTTGAACAAAAAATATTCATATGAAAGACAAACAAAAAGTCATTTGAAGGATTTTTAGAAAATGCTTGAAAATTAGTGTGGGGCAATTCAGAAAAACAATCCGTTGTTAGCATGAAAACAAACTTTATGGTATGTAAAGCATAAAATAGGAACAAAACAGCTCTATTACACACAAATAAAGTGAGAAGCACAAAAAGAAGCTTGCTTGCCAACAAGTATGTTTTCAGTTTTGCACTGTCTTGTTAGCATAGTGTTATTTTGAGTCTAGAAGCAAAGGTTTCCTCATTTTCACTTATACTATATTATTGATTCCCAGTGCCTTTTGCAAAGATTTCACAATGTTACAATGTAGCTTGTTCAAATGTCTTCCAGAAGAATTTCTAATACAGTTAAGCTTGCTTCACTTTTTCATTTTTTAGTTGTAATAATGTAGTAAAAAAATAACACTTAAAGTAAATGTAGGCCTTTAGTTCTGAAAATTATCTGAGATGTTCATATGTTTGTCCCAGATCAGACTATTAGTTGTTAATATTTTATGAACCATGTCATATTTATGTATTTCATTTGTATTGATTTATTCCTCAAGTACATAACTCTGGGCAACTAACAATTAAAAAAAAGAAATAAATTACAAATAACATGAATAGCAGCTGAGCAACCAATCTACAATAATACTAAAAATCATCCCAGTTAACACAGCCAAGAAATGGGCTCACCCACACCGTCAGGGCCTCAGGCTTAATGGCAAAAGCTGGTGTTTTAGGCCTTGCAAAAAGCCAGCAGGTTTGGGGTGAGTCTGAGGGCAGATGCCAAACAGAAAAGGCTCACTTTTTTAAACTGCATTTATTGTATTATTATTACAAATGTCCATTACCAGATGCTGACTGGACATCTAATTCTAAATTTTGTTTAATATTCCAAACTGAGATATGTTTGTCTCTTGAACCTTTGGATTTTAAATTCTTTTAAGATATATAGCCTTTTCTTTTTAAATTTGTGCCTTTCTTCTAGGAGCTCACACAGTATACATAGCACACCTTCCTATTCCTTCTCCATAAACTTGGAATAGATTGAAGTGGGTTAGCTCAGAAACACCAGCAGCCAGAAGCACCTAACCTCTCTGTCTGAAGCATGACTTGAATGTAGGTCTTCATTGTCCTACTCTAACTACATCGTCCTGGCTATCACATTGATAGGATAAAATTGCATATGGTTTTGCTTAGAACAAAAGCAGATGGGAGGGATGTTGTCCAAAGATGATTTACCGGAATTTGTCAAGTTTTAATCTTCAAATCATACCTCCCCCATAAGAGACCATCTGATAAATATAAACACATAAAAATGCTTTTTCAATATTTTTAAGTAGCTGAAATGCTTTATAAGAACTGTACCTAGAGCTGATTCATTTCCTCTGAGTCAGAAAAGCCTCTTTTATCTGTCACCTTTTGTATGTGTGTGCAAATTAGGTTTCTGCATTGTTTTAGATTTGAACTGTTTTTAATTATAAAATAAAGTTTTACAAATCACTTATATCAGGAACAAGTAACTTGCCCTGATTTTTTTAAAAAAAATATGATTTGTCTTTTCTCTGGATTCTGGAGAAGACTTTTTTCCCATTCTCTCCCAACCATTATGGTTAGTTGGTCATGGTTTAAGCTTAGCATGTTAATAGCTAGGTCACTGCATATTTCATTAAGTAGGGAATTATAAGCAGGAGATAGATTTGGTACTTTATTCAGTCCAGAGAGGCAATGAAAAGTAAATTATATTAGTAATAATACATTGTCAGAGAATATTCATAATAAATTCTACAGTGAATTTTGAAGGCATTACTGATCTTTCTTTGGAAGTTATCAATCTGTTTTACAACTTATGAATCTAAAGATGAAAATGCATTCAACGTACATATCAGTTACAGTTCAAAAGGCATTAAAAGTCATGAAATAGTTTATTAAAAGATGATATTATTTCTTCTGTTTACTAAGAAAATATTTGTATACATTCATAAATTATTAATTCGATATCTTCACTTCATCAACTTTGTATAAAAGGATGGAAGTAAAAGGTACTGCAAAGGAAATAAGCACATAATAAAGGAAATCCCAGGTATTTTCTCAACAGCATAACTGGGAGAAATAAAAGATAGAAATATTAAAAGCAAAATAATTTTGTTGGAGACAAGTTAGAGGAAAATATTAAGAGACAAATTGGAACAAATAATTCGTATGGAATTAATATTATATAATGTATTTTCTATTGAACAAAGGGGAGACAGATATAAGTCCATCCTCAGCCATGGATGTTCAGTGAATGATCTGGGGCCACACTTTGTCTCAGCCTACCTCATAGGCTAGTTGTGGGAAGAAAATTGGAAAAGAGTATTCTATACATCACTCAGTGCCTTTTTATAGCATTTCTTTTTGGTGGGGGAGAAGTGAGTGAGAAAGAGAGGGAGGGAGGGAGGGAGGGAGAGAGGGAGAGAGAGAGAGAGAGAGGGAGAGAGAGAGAGAGAGAGAGAGAGAGAGAGAGAGAGAGAAATTCCATAACCTAAATTGTGTCCTTTGGCTGTATTTATGTAATTGCTAACATTGAGTGATTATAATTTGCAGCTGTAATCAGTCCTCGAGAAATGAATCAACCTGATCCAATAGAAGAAGCACTTCGAACACAAATTGAACAGAAGAAAATAAGGTTCTCTTGGCTTGATTATTATACGTTAAAAACTTAAATAAGTATGTATGTTTCTTGTATACAGTAAGTTGCTGAATACTAAGTAACATGTATACATTTCATAAACTGTATGCAATTAAGTTAGCTTAATACCTGTCTACATAGGGGCCATATTTCAGCAATGGGAAAACATAGATTTGGCTAGATTGTCAGTCTATTTAAGAAAGATATTAAATGTTTCTTTTCCCATAATTAGCTAAATCCCTTTTCAAGAAGAGTCTCCCCAAACCTTGGTGCCAATTGGCTGCTTTGGGTCTTTTGCTAAACTGAAACACAGACATAGTGGCAAGAGAACAGCTGAACGTTGTTCTAAGGGCAAAGACCAAAGGTAGTTCAAGGTCAGAGCAGATGAGAAAATCCAAAGCAGGATGGTGAGACAGAAATCAAAGAACTATAGAGGAGATCTCATTCAGGCAATCACTTCTATAGAACTGAATAAGCTTGAGTTCTCAGAGCCCTTCTCAGGGCTTAGGGACAATTTCTAAGAATAGACTTGGAGAGTTCCTGCTTACCAAAAGGATCTAATTCACGAACACTTATTTATTCAGTGAGAATTTGGCCTTTTCAATGGTCATTTCTTTGACAGATGAGCAAGTTGCTAATATTTGGGGAAAGTCTTTTCTATTCATATCCTACATGATAAATTTACCAGACTTTATAATTTTTTACAAATAAAGAACAAACGAGAGAAATACCCAACAAGGAATAAATCAACTTGCAATGTGTGAGCAGGTAGCAAATGGTGAGAGATGTTCACTTCTACAGGTTAGTTGCATCTTCTGTAATAACTTTTTCTTTTCCATTTTGCAGTTATAAAACAATGTTTACTCACTTGAAAGGGCTGAAGGTAGAGATCGAACACTTGCAGCTCCTCATGGAAAAAGCAAAACTGAAGTTGCAAAAAGATTTTGAAGCTTGGTGGTCTGAGGAAACAATAAGCTTGCAGGTATTTAGGTGTCTTTATTTTCATTTTCAGAATAACTTTTACATTTGTCAGATGAAAAAAGATTGGGATGTCTGAGTTTTATAAAATATTTGAATGCAGACTTTGCCTCCTTAACATGACACAAAAGCAGTAATCATTCCACTTCTAATAAAGCATTTTAACTTCCCAGATCTTAAACTGTGTAAAATAATAATAATAATAATAATAATAATAATAATAATACCATCAAACATCCACATCTGCCTATCCCAGGTCCTGGGTAAGGACTCGATAGGTAGACAAAATGCCAAATCCAGTCTGAACATCTGGCTGACTGTGCGATGATCCATAATAATAATAATAATAATAATAATAATAATAATAACCCCCAGTGAGACACTACCTTGACGTGGTTGTGGGGCTTGTGTACTCTGAAGAAGATGAGAGCTATGCCAGAGGTTCAACCACACTGGACAGGTCTCATTAGAGGAGTCAGACAAAGAGTGTCTCTCCCATAAAAAATATGGTGAGACGTAAATTGCAGAATGCCATACCGGCTCGGACGTCACCCGGGTTAACAAGGTCCGTGCTAGATATTGGAGTTCCTGGATATCTGGTGAAAAATGGGTTACAGGACTCAGGACTGTTGGCTGAGCAACCAGGGCCAGCAGCTGCAGAACTACTGGAAGAAAAGATGTTTACCCATCGCAGATACACAGTGATTGAAAACAAAGAAATAATGATCTGTTACTACAGATCAAGTCCAACAAGAAGAGGATATCTAAAACGAATGCACAAGTTCTGGAAAGAACAACATCCAGAATCAGAAATAACAGAACAGAGACTAGTAGATCAACGCCGATTTATAACACGAAATAAAGTATTCACAGAAACAGAATTGGACGAACTGCAAAGGTTTACCCAGGGCACAGGTTGGCAACCTGCGGCTCCGGAGCCGCATGCGGCTCTTTGAGCCTTCCCCTGTGGCTCCCAGCTTCCTCTGCCTTTGCAGAGAGAGAGAGAGACAGAGAGAGGCAATTGCGCTTCCCTGCTTCAATCTCTCTCTCTCTCTCTCTCTCTCTCTCTCTCTCTCTCTCTCTCTCTCTGTGTGTGTAATTGTGTTTTTTTTTTTTGTGTGTGTGTGTGTGTGTGTGTGTGTATGTGTAAAAGAGAGTGTACTCACATGTTCTCCGAGGAGCTGAAAAGCTTACTGGGCGGAGCTCCTCCCTTTGCTGCATCTCTGCAGGAAGCAGGAAGGGTAGGAGAGAGCTAGCTAGCCCAGCTAGGCTGACTCAGGAATTCTGGGAGTTGAAGTCCATGAGTCATAAAAGAGATGAGGTTGCCTACCCCTGATTCTTGTTGGACAACAGCTTGAAGCTTGCCAGGTGAGCAGCAGATAGGAGAGGGGGGGAGAAAGAGAGAGAGAGAAAGAGAGGGAGGGAGGGAGAGAGAGAGAGAGAGGAGAGAGAGAGAGAGAAAGAAAGAGAGTGGGGGAAGAGGAGTGGTAGACCAAGGGCAGATAGAGAGGGAGGGAGAGAGACAGAGAGAGACAGAGAGAGAGAGAGAGACCCTTTTGACATCTAAAATGAAGATAACACTGCATATATCCTTTTTTAACCTGTGTGTGTGTGTGTGTATATACACACATACATACATACATATACATACACACACACACACACACACACACACACACACACACACAAATACCCCCCACACACAAACACACACACCTATAATAAAGGTAAAAAAGGATATATGCAGTGTTATCTTCATTTTAGATATCAAAAGGGTTTTGCGGCTCCCAGTGTTTTGTTTTTGATGGGAAACGGGTCCAAGTGGCTCTTTAAGTGTTTTGGGTTGCCTACCCCTGACCCAGGGCAAAGAAATCAAAGCCTTACCAGAAGTAAGTCAGAATGTAGAGGCAAACCAGGGGGAGTTGGCAGTGAAGGAATCCAGCAGAGATATACAACTGTTCTCATTTGGAAACCAGGCACCTCTACCTCAGGAAGAACAAAACCCTCTAACTAAAGAAATAAAAGAATTGAAACAAAGAATAACTGAGCATCTAGAACAGCACAAAAACAACAGAATAAGGCTACCTGCATTGAAGCTTGTTCCAAAGAAACAGCTAGCACAAGCATTAAAAGATGCAAATACTGCAATATCAAGTATAAGCACCAATTCACTGCAAGAAACAAACCAACTAATGTACAGCACAGCTGCAGTTATAACTGAATACCTGGGATGCAAAATCAACAAAGAAAAAAAACAAACAGTGCACCAGAAAAATGGAAGGTTAGACTAGAAAATAAGATCAGCAAGTTAAGATCACATGCAAGCAAGCTAGAACAGATGAAAGAAAAGAAGCTGAAGAACAAGAAGACCAAAGAATACCTAATCAAGAAATACCACTTAGAAACAAGGAAGATCAAGGAAGCACTGGAAATAATAAAGCAACAAATAACAGCTATAGCCAGGAAAATCAGTAGATATGAAGCTCGAATTGCAAACTATAGGCAGAACCTCCAATTTCAATCCAATCAGAAACGTTTCTACCAATCCATCAATGGAGAAACTGCAAGAATCAGTCAGTACCTGACAAGGAAGAAACAGTGCAGTTCTGGAAGCAGATATGGGATAACCCAAAGAAATACAACAAGGATGCGGCTTGGTTAAAAGAGGTGGATGCAAATAAAACAGAAGTTGAAATGAAAGAACTAGTAATAACAACAAAAATGGTAGAAAAAAGAGCAAAGAAAATCAAAAATTGGTCAGCACCAGGTGAAGATGAACTGCATGGGTTTTGGTTGAAACATCTAACTGTTATACACCCACTCATTGCCAAGCAGTTCAACAATATACTACAAGGAGGAGAAATTGAAAAGTGGCTAACAACTGGGAAAACCTACCTAATAATGAAAAATCCAGCAAAAGGGGCAACACCAGGTAACTACAGGCCAATTACCTGCTTACCAACAACTTTCAAATTACTAACTGGTGTGGTAGCTGATGCAGTACAACAGCATCTAGTTGAAAACAATCTCTTTCCACCTGAGCAGAAAGGAAACCGCCCCAATAGCAGAGGAACAAAAGATCAACTCCTAATAGACAAAATGATCTTGGAAAACTGCAAGAGAAGGAAGACCAACCTGAATGTGGCATGGATTGACTACAAAAAGGCATTTGACTCTCTGCCACATGATTGGATAATAAAGTGCCTAGAAATAACAGGAGTCAGTAGAAACATCAGAAAATTTGTGCAAAGATCGATGGCACAATGGAAGACACAGTTGCAGATCAATGGTGAGAAGCTGGGAGAGGTTAATATCAAGAGAGGAATATTTCAAGGAGATTCATTATCACCATTACTATTTGTTATTGCACTGTTTCCTCTGTCAACAATACTGAATAACTCAGGACATGGCTATCAAACATCAAAAACATCTGCCAGACTATCCCACCTCCTTTACATGGATGATCTGAAGCTGTATGGAAAAACATCATCTGAAATAGAATCGCTGCTCAACACTGTCCGTATATATAGCCAAGATATTGTAATGGAGTTTGGCTTGGACAAATGTGCCACACTTACTATCAAACAAGGAAAAATAGTGAAAACTGAAGGAATCAAGATGCCCCACGAAAATAACATTAAGAGTCTGGATGAGGAAGAGTACTACAAATACTTGGGTATCCTTCAAGCTGACAACATCAAGCACACTGAAGTCAAGAAAAAGATTAGAGGTGAATACATCAAGAGAGTGAAGAAGATCTTAAAGTCCAAACTCAATGGAGGAAATACCATAAAGGCAATCAACACCTGGGCAATCCCAGTCATTAGGTACACAGCTGGAATAGTGGACTGGACTCAAGCAGAACTAAAAGCAATGGATAGGCAGACCAGAAAAATAATGACAATGAATCATGCCCTTCATCCACGCAGTGACATTGATAGACTTTATCTACCAAGGCAAATAGGTGGGCGTGGAATGCTACAAGTACATCAGATGGTTGAAGAAGAAAAAATGGCTTTGGAAGAATATCTGAAGAACAATGATGAAGATGCACTGAAATTAGTATATCAGGAAGGCTTACTAACTACTGGAGAGACCAAACTGGCCTACAAGAAAGACCAAATGAAGAACAGAATAGAGGCATGGGAAGACAAAGCACTACATGGCCAATACATGAAAAAAATAGCTGGGAAAGCAGATAATAATAAAACCTGGCAATGGCTAAGAGCAGGAAAATTGAAGAAAGAGACCGAGGGACTAATTCTGGCTGCACAAGACCAAGCCTTAAGGACAAATGCATACAAAGTCAAAATTGAGAAGACAGCAACAGACAGTAAGTGCCGCCTATGCAAAGAAGCTGAAGAAACAGTGGACCACTTGGTAAGCTGTTGCAAGAAGATTGCACAGACTGATTACAAGCAGCGGCATGACAAAGTAGCAACAATGGTGCATTGGAAGATCTGCAAAAAATATCATTTGCCTGTAAGCAAAAACTGGTGGGATCATAAAATAGAGAAAGTCATAGAAAATGATAAAATTAAACTGCTCTGGGACTTCAGAATTCAAACAGACAAGCACCTGCAACATAACACCCCAGACTTAACAATTGTCGATAAGAAAGACAAAAAAGTCTGGATAGTGGACGTGGCAGTGCCTGGAGATAGCAGAATAGAAGAGAAAGAACTGGAGAAGATAACAAAATACAAAGACCTACAAATAGAAATAGAAAGACTGTGGCAAAAGCAAGCAAGGGTAGTACCAATAGTATAGGCTCCTTGGGTGCAATCCCAAAACAACTGGAGCACCACTTGAACACCATTGGCATTGACAAATTCGCTATTGGTCAACTGCAGAAGGCGGCCTTATTAGGAACTGCTTCCATCCTGCGACGATATCTGTAATACCATCAAACATCCACATCTGCCTATCCCAGGTCCTGGGTAAGGACTCGATAGGTAGACAAAATGCCAAATCCAGTCTGAATATCTGGCTGACTGTGCGATGATCAATAATAATAATAATAATAAAATTGGAAGGGACCTTGGAGGTCATCAAGTCCAACCCCCTGCTCAGGCAGGTAACCCTATACCATTTCGGACAAATGGCTGTCCAGTTTCTTCTTAAAAACTTCCAGTGTTGGAACATTCACCGCTTCTGGAGGCAGGTTGTTCCACTGGTTAATTGTTCTCACTGTCAGGAAGTTTTTCCTTAGTTCTAGGTTGCTTCTCTCCTTGATTAGTTTCCATCCGTTGCTTCTTGTCCTGCCTTCAGACACTTTGGAAAATAGCTTGACTCCCTCTTCTTTGTGGCAGCCCCTGAGATATTGGAACACTGCTATCATGTCCTCCCTCGTCCTTCTCTTCATTAAACTAGACATACCCAATTCCTGCAACCGTTCCTTATATGTTTTAGCCTCCAGTCCCCTAATCATCTTTGTTGCTCTTCTCTGTACTCTTTCTAGAGTCTCAACATCTTTTTACATCGTGGTGACCAAAACTGGATGCAGTATTCCAAGTGTGGCCTTACCAAGGCATTGAAGAGTGGTATTAATACTTCACGTGATCTTGATTCTATCCCTCTGTTAATGCAGCCTAGCACTGTGTTGGCCTTTTTGGCAGCTGCAGCACACTGCTGGCTCATATTTAAGTGATTGTCACTAGGACTCCGAGGTCCCTCTCACAGTTACTACTATTGAGCAAGGTACCCCCTATACTATACCTGTATATTTGGTTTTTCTTGCCTAAATGTAGAACCTTACTTTTTTCACCATTAAATTTCATTTTGTTAGATAGCGCCCAGTGTTCAAGTCTGTCCAGATCCTCCTGTATCCTAAGCCTGTCTTCTGGAGTGTTGGCTATTCCTGCCAGCTATGCCTCTAAGTGACCAATCATCTAACATCAACTGAACTATTGAGAAAGTTTGAAATTTGAATTTGTCATTTCAGTGAATCAAGAATTTCCAAATATAGTGATATAATGAGATAATATACATAAAATTATGTGGAAAGTTAGAATTCAAAGTAAAGATTTCAATATTTAGATTTCAACATTAATGAGAGTTAGCCTCCAGTTCATTCCTTATCCTATGGTTTCTTTAGAGCCAAGAAGAAAAGCCACTTTTGCAGAATTCAGCCAATTTTCTAAAGACGCCTTCCTTGTTTTTTGAAAATCAGGTACATCCAGGTACCATCAGGTAAGATTGTTATCTTTCTGCATGTGTGTTTTCTAATATTTTCTGCTTTTCTGAGTGAACAGTAGGCAAAGTGATGTACCAATTTTGCATGGCCCTTTTGTAAATCAATACATAAGTGTTCCATGCAATGAATCCATGTTGTGAATTCAGTAAGAGCAGAATCATAGAGTTTGAAGATATCTGCAGCATAAGATCTAACCTGATTTCTCCTCTATTTAAATATCTCCTGCTCCGGTACTTTATATGTTGCCTGACACAGAATAGATTGAAATTATTACTTCTTATAATCTGGATATTATTTTTCTATTGGTCCAGACTAATGATTCACTTCATTTTTTATCAGCTATATGGCATTAATAGTTCATGCTCAAGTATGAGTCTTACATCTGTACATTAGCTGCTATCAAACTAATCTTCCTTCTAGTTTTCTTGTTTGTATCTTATTGAAGTACATTATATTTACCTTTGAATTTCATTTCACTGGTTTCAGGATGGTATTTCAACTTGTCATCATAATTTCAAAATTATATTCTCCCTTGTATTTCTTAACAATTTGTTAACTACACTTGCAGTCTGGTAAATATTTCCTTTAAGTTTTTTGTCCAAATAATTTTAAAATCAGCATGGGATTTATCCCAACAGGCCACTCTAGACTTGTGAAGTATGTTGTTCAGTTTATTGTAGATTCAGCTGTGAATATACCTAAAAGCAGTAATGTCTGGCCCATATTTTATGAACTGATAAATAAGGATTTCATTTTATGTATTTATTAGCTTTCTAAGCTGCCACAATCATGTGAATCTAAGCCATGTACAGAAATATTATGAATTTAATAAAATGTCCACAGATTAATTACGATAGATTTTATAGAAAAATTAAAACCAACCTAATTGAAACAATGGAAAAATTCCTATGACATTCTGTCAGCTAATTTAAAAAAGCTCTCCAGAAGATCTCTGCTTCACTTGCTTCCATAAGTCAAAAACTGTTAGGGCTAACTGTTAGGTAGTTTCTTGGGAAAGTTTGTTTCATAATATAGGAATCATTATAAAGCAGTTCTTCCATCTGCCTTCAGTTTTCCTGACTTCGTGGTAATAAGAAAATAGAAGCAATTTTTCCCACCACTGCACTTTATAATAATGCCTGGGCATTAATGCATTTTGAACCAACTGAAGTTTCCGAGTTGTCTATAAAGGCAACTATTTAAGCATGCACAAGTAAGTATTTAATTTGTCAATTTCATATAGGTAAAGCAGCTTTAGTGTAAGCAAATATATTTGCTAAAAAGGGTGAGAGGGAAGGGAGGATCTATTGTTGTTTGGAAACTGAAATGTACTAGTTAGCACTATCCAATGAACACTCAGTGGTTAGTGGATATTAGCCATTGCTGGATGTTATTTCTGATCACATTTTCTGTGGCAGTGCTATCATTCTTTCTCTCTTTTGTATCAACTTTCTCAGTTTTTGTGATGCCTGGTGCTCAACATATTAATTAATATATTCTGGGATTCTGTGGTTTTGACTTTACATGCTGTTATCTGAGGATAATAAACATAATTTTTAATTCTGAATTGTACAATTAAAACATATTGCCAACTAATTTTGTATGCTTTAATAAATAATGACAGCATAAGCTGGTTTGTAGCTTTGCTAATGTCAGTTTTCCATAACTCTCAGTGTCTGTTACATTATCCTTCCACTCCTCAAGATTTTTTGTGCTTCATCAACTTTTATGTTATAGTGCAAAAAGTGTAATTTTATTTTGCATTAAATGTTTCTAATCAGCACAATCTCAAAGTAAATTCTTCCAAGATAATTCTCAGGAAGTCTAGTATACCCTTCTAAGAAGTGCACTTACACATAAAGCAAAAAATGTTCCCTTTTACACATTTAAATCCTTAATGAAGGAGTTCATAATATTCTGGGAACATCTATGTAAACAAGAAAAATCAGAAACGATAGTAGTGATTACTGCTGTAAAAGTATGTAGATCGATATATTTTATGGAGTTCATTTCCAGCCTTGAACCAGCTCATGTGACTTTTTTTTGATATGCTAATTGTATGGAATGTCTAGAGATTATGTAGTAATTGACATGCATATTTTTATGACTATAATTTAAATATATGGTGCAAGCAACACTTACTTTGGCAAATGCATTCATGGCTAGGGATTTTTGTTGTTGATTTTAGTCTCATTTTTGGCTTCTACGTCCCTTAGAGGTTATGATTATGATGCATGTTGAAGATAAGAATCCAAGACCATGAATCAAATGTAAGATTTTGTGAGAGGCAGACTTGGAATTTTGTTTTTATTTGCAGACATATGAGATCTGTGTTGTTACACTTGCAATGACCCTTTTAAGTTTTCTATGAACTTTTGTCTTCAGATATTTCAAGAACTTTTGTATTATTCTGTGTTAAGACTCATGCCCATTTTTGCAGCTATGTTCTCAATGTTACAAGCAAAGAATTTGTAATGGAACTCTTGACATTGTGATAGAGAACAGCAACTTATATCCCACTGTGCTGAAAATTTATTCTAGACCTCTTGAAACCTGTTTGAGGCATTAACAATTCATAGCAAGGTTTCTGATTTCCTACATTTAAGGATATAAAATAACAAAACACCCACTTCCTAAAGAGTCTATTGAATCTCAGTGACACAGTGAACTTATTTATTCATTCTCATAGTTACATATGATGAGATCTTTGGGCTTTTTATTTTTCTTATAAACCTTGGAGTAAAACACAAAAAGCTCTTTGTTGCTAAATCCATCCAGAAGCAAACTGGTAATTTACTCAATGAACAGGATTTAACCATAATCTTCTATCTGTCAAATAAATTGTAATAGTAAAAGTTTACACGAAGCATATGGTATATAACAGTTACTGTCATTCAGTATTTAGTTGAAGGAATTTAGATAGCAGAAGAGAATATAAAAGTAGGCCTAATGTAAAAACCATATGAATATACTTCTACCATTGAAACAAGGATAACATAACTTTTTATGACAATTTAGTCTGTAAACACTTATACTTAAACACTTTTCACCACTCTGAGATATAGAAGATGTTTCAGTGCCTATACAAACTATAATATATAAACAAATGGTGGCACTTTTAAATATTCTGAAATGTACATAGAATTTATAGCATTTAATTTGATGTGTACACAGATGTTGGTGTCTGACAAATAATAATAATGGTACTCAAGGAATATAATCACTATAGATTTTTAAAATTATTTTCCTTTATATTTTAAAATTTTTCCTAACTATAGAACTATTAAGTCTATATTTATATAAGTAATATCCAGTAGAAATATCTTGGTGTGTAATTGGAAAGTAAATTTGATGTTTTAGGACAAATCTTTCTGTCATGTCATAGATGGATTGTTTTCAGAGCTTTTTTCAGATCTCCCAGTAAAGCCTATTGAAATTCAACCCCAGAAATTTGCCATTGATATGATGGATCAGAAAAGGTAACATACTGGGCCAATCCCTGCCCCCATCCATGATGCATCTGACTCACCATCAGAGGAATCACATCAGTCTATCCAATAAAAAAATAGTGAATATGGTTCTTGTTAGGAGCTTAATCCTTTGAGTTCCCAGACTAGAATATCAGGGCAATAAGCCAGAGCTGCACCTGTTCTGTTTTTATGAGCAACTGTGAAAATGAAATACCATCACTAGCTATGCTGCTAGTTTTCCTCAGGTAACACTAGCACTAGCACGTAGACTTATATACCTCTTCATAGTGCTTTACAGCACTCTATAAGCGGTTTACAGCATCAGTGTATTGCCCCCAACAATCTGGGTCCTCATTTTACCAACCTCAGAAGGATGAAAGGCTGAGTCAACCTTGAGCCGGTCAGGATCGAACTTCTGGCAGTGAGCTGAATTAGCCTGCAATACTGCATTCTAATCATTGTGCCACCACGGCTCCTGGTAAATCTTTTTGGAAGATGCGCTAAGATGGCCCTAAGCTCCAGGTATTGCAGATTGTAGAGTCTATCTGCACAGGTACCCCCACTTCCTGTGCTCACTCTGAAGAACCACTCAGGCTAAGCATGATGAATGAGTAAAATGGCAAGGAGCAACAAGAGGTTTTCTTGGTCACCACAACTCAATTTTTTTAGTGTCACTAAATTTGTCACTGAATTAATTCCTTCAACAGACATACATGAGCAAAGGTCCAATTAGCAACAAATCACTGTTAATCATAGCAGTGGCTCTCCCAGTGACCATTTCAAAGATAGCAATAATAAGCAACACAAATGCTGATATTAGACCACTACATTCCTTCACAATTGCCAGTATTTCTTCATGGAGTATTCTTTTCTTTCAAGGTGAATTGATTAAGCCATGGAAATTTAAATCACTGATTTAAATCAGTAGGTAAAAAGGCCGATTTAAGCAGCCCTTCAGCCAAGACCGCCACTGATACTGCTTTATATATTATCTATTGGTTTGTTTGTTTGTTTTTGTTTATATAGTATCTATTGTTGTGGGTCATTAGATTCTAGGTATATAATACTATATACAAACTTCAGATTATTGGTCATACTTTTTTATTTTTTTATTTTTACATCCTGAAAGTGGCAAACCTAGTATGATACGTGATTGGAAATTTAAAGGTATGTGGGATTCTAAAAATACAATATCATAGTTTTATAATTTCTTGCAATAGAATGCTACAGTATATAGAAAAATGTAATTTATCTTGTCATTATAGATAAGATTTTCTGTACCAATTAACCTGAGTCTTTCAGTGTAACTATTTTACAACCATCAATTTTTTATGTTTTATTATCCTTAAATTGGAATTAGACAGGCTTGGCTTACAAAATAAATGATGCTTTTAAATCAAAAAAGGTCTTTGACAACACTTCAAAGAGAAGGCTGTCCTCTGTATGCTGAGATACATGGCTGTTCTATTTTTGAAATATATCATAGTTTCATGTTGTCTTCTCTTCTTTCCAATTGTCTTCTTCTCTGCTTCACTTTACCTCCAGGTAGTTCTACTTTTTGAGAAACAGCAAACAAAATTAATTACATTTCAGTGACTAATAAATTGCTTGCCAGAATAGAGCAACCTAATTTTAATCAGGTAAAAATGAAATGTCCTTATTTGATAAATGAAGTAAAAAAAACTTTGAGAAATTAAATTCTTTTTTCCTTTACATAGAAAAACACCTTAGTGCAGGAGTCCCCAAACCTGGTCCGTGGACCAGTACCAAGCCACGGCATATCAGCAACTGGTCCGCACAAACAAGCAAAGCCCCATCCACGAGATGCAGGCAGCACAGAAAATCACGCACCCTCCGGTCTGTGGAAAAACCTCTCTCCAGGGAACCGGTCCCTGGTGCCCAAAAGGTTGGGGACCTCAGCCTTAGTTGCTTCTTTCATGTAATACCCTTAACACTGATATCCAATAATTTGAATATAGTTACCTTACTACCAGCACACAATTACACTAACCAGGTCAAAAGCCATCATTTTAGGAAATATAGAAATCTCCACATGTCCTCCAATCCTGATTGTTATCCAATGAGTCCTTGTATCATAAGAATATGAACAAGATTTCAGTAGCCTAATATTCCATTCTCCATTGTTCATTCAGACTAGTGTGAGGAAGAAAGGAAATGGGGGAAAATTAGTACTCCAAACCCAGGTTAACCCAGGTTCTCAGTGCATCTCTACCATATAATTGTGGACCTGGTTCTTCCATTTTATGACACATTTAACAAACTAATGATAGAGTCTGTACTATATGCATTTTAAAAACAATCTCCTGTAGTCACTGTGAGATTAAATCAACGCTCCCCAAACTTTTTCCGTTCATTACCCCAAACTGTCTATCAGAAAATCTTTTTTACCCAATGGAAGTAAAACAGTTTAAGTCAGTTTAAATGTCCCTGCTGTGATTGGGTAATGGATTTGTGTGTCATTATTCAAATAAAAAAGCACTTTTACCAAATTTTGGATAATGTACCCAGATTTGGGAAGCACTTGGTTAAAAGCTTGTTCCTGCTTTCTCAGCTGTGTAGGCAGGAAATCTTTGCTTTAGTGGTCAAACGTCTTTGACCCTGTTCTCCAGTTAGGGAGAAATGCTTTCTTGGCTCTTCTGACATTATTAAGAGATGGTATTTTCCATTCCATCTTTATTTATTTGTTTATTTTGGTCACACTAACTATTTGGAATTCAAAGGGATGAATTTAATTTCAGCACAGAAAAATAAGAATGCCTCAAGTTTGCCATCTAGTGGTTAAATCTTAAAATAGGTATTTGCATTTTGAATTAATGTTTAAAATAAGGATATAATGGTCAACCTCAATGCTAGATTTAAAGTCATCCATAGTACTTTGTCTTTTTGTTTCTGAGACATATATAAACAGAAATTGGGATTGCTTGCATGAATAAAATATATGAGATCTGTTAAAAGGTACAGAAGCAATAGTAAACAGTAAGGAAGTTTTTGTATGCTAACTATTGACATCTACTTAGAAATTGAAGTAACTTATTGTGGCATTACTATAGAAGGTATTGGAGTTAAAATAGGTATAGGAATTAATAAAAACAGTACTGTTATTGGTATCTACTATTGCCACTCAGCCATGATGATTGCTTTCCACACTCAAATTGCATAAAGTAGCTTTCAAATATGTATGAGGTAAATGTTATAGGAGAATTAAATTACCTTAAAACCATAACACTTCCAGGAAATTCCTGGCATATTTTATAAACAAGTTTCTCCTTCAGAAAATGGAGCAATGCATAAAATATCAGCTGTTCTTGACTTTATACTAAATACTAAGAATAACTTAACTGAGGAAATGTAAATAATAGGACACGAGGGTCAAGTAACCATATTATGCAGAAATTTTCATTTAATAGCAACTAAATGAAGTCAAATGCATAACTTGGACTTAAAAACCATATTTTAATAAATTCATGTATATGTAGGATTCTGTGGTAGATCAGATATGGAAAATAATCCAAATCATAAAGAAAGAATATGTAGGAATAGTGTTGAAAACACTGAATTAAAGAAGCTACAGAATTTTATGAGATATGGGACAAGTGTTACAACTGGTTAGAATTGAGGAATAAAAAAGTATGAGAAGTGATGTAAATAATTGTAAATAAATGTAAGAGATATAGGACACAGTACTGTTAAGGAAAAAAATGTATTTTGTATTTTGTTTTTTGTAAAGTGAAAAAGGAAAAAATTAAAATTAAAAAAAAGAAACAACAAAAGCTTTCTTAGATATATTTAGAGTAAAACAATCTGGAGCTAAATATGCTTAAAACTGTAGAGACAAGAGTGGATTTTAGGAGGAGCCCTATTATACCACTTCTCACTATATTTGATAGCACAGTATCAGCAGCAGAGTCCTTCAGGTTTTGGGGTTCTATAATCTCTCAGGACTTGAAATGGACAGGTAATAGTAGAACCATCATTAAAAAGGCACAATAAAGAATATTCTTCCTGCCTCGACACAGAAAGTTCAGACTGCCCCAGGAACTCTTGATACAGTTTTACACAGAAATTATTAAGTCTGTCATTTTTACTTCTATAACTGCCCGGTTTGGTACAACCACCAAACAGGATAGGTATAGACTCCAACGGACAGTTAAGATTGTAGAAAGAGAATCCCAACCAGCCTGCCTTTCATAGAAGACCTCTATATTGTTCAGGTCAGGAGGAGGACTGGGAAGATATCTATAGGCACTTCACATTCTGGACATAAACTGTTTCAACTCCTCCCCTCAGGACACCACTACAGGGCATTGCATGTCAAAACAACTAGACACAGGGACTTTTTTCCCCTTGCACCATCTATCTGTTGAATACCTAATTCTCACAATGCTGTCTAATGTCTATATATAGTTACCCATGTGGTATAGTGGTAATATTATCATTTATCCTATTATCTTCTTTACTCCACCATTTATTGGCATTACTGTATTATTATGCTGATTATTATTATTCTGTTGCTTTATATGTATACTTGGCCAAATAAAGTATCCTATCCTATCCTGTCCTGTCCTGCCCTACCCTATTCTGTGAAAGAAAAAATAATCAGACTATCAGCTTCCTACTGAAGACAGCAAGATGTTATTGAACATAAAGAATATCCTCTTGCTATCCAATACTACTTTCCTGATGAACCATGGTTTTACTGCATTCAATCACCTTCATGAAGATATTCTTTTCTGTCAATCAACATTACAAGCTGCACTGAGAACTTCAATGCATACTTTTCAGAGCATGGAATACATGGTGAAAAATGTTATGGTCTTGGGCAGTCACCATCTGCTGCAACTTTTTCTTCAGTAGCAGACATAGTTGAGTGGACTGCTAATCTTGTGTGCAGGTTGTTCATTCAGGCAGCCCCTGAGAATGAAGAAGAAGAGAAAGAGACCCGCCCCAAGTTCTTAGCTGTTGTGGAGTTACCTGAGGTCTCTATCTGGGAAATGCATTGCCAAATCAAACGTTTGATCTTGAGAGTAGCAGCAAATTCAAAAAGTCACTGAAGCTGCTTTGCAACCCTAGAACGACTATAAATCTCCATCATCAGCTACTTTGCAAACACAGCTACATCATCACAATGGGGGAATCATCAAAAAATGATACCAACACTTTCTGCAGCTTGGAAGATGCATACTATCTTGCTTCCATATTTTGATTTTTCCTATGGCAGATCATAGACTGTAGAGATGGAATGAATACTTTATTCTGTGTTCTGAGTTCTTCCAGGCTGAATCAGTGACAGAAGGGATTGTAGTGTTTAAAAAAGAGATTAAATGTTCAGACTAAATTATCATTTAAAATAAATGTTAAATGTCCTGATGAAGTCTTTTTAAGAAATGTGTTTAGATGACAAAACTAATTTGATGTCTTCAGCTGTCAAAATATTTAAGTTTTCGCTATCTTCATTTCTCATCCTCATGAATTTAAATGGTAATTGAGCAGAGTTTGAAATTACTTTCATAATAAAAACTGTGGTTAGACTAATAATGATTGTAGAGTTTTAAAGTGTAAATTACAGTAAGAACAGTATAGAATCTCATGAAAGCAAATTATAGTTGCAGAATGGGATGTTCACACAATGTACATTATAACTTAATAACAGCATGATGGATAAGTAGGCCCTCAGCAGAATAAGTATTATTCAGATACATAAAGAAAACATCCTTATTGTTCCCTTAGGACAGCATTAGAAAAACAAACAATGCTATTTAATGCATCTCAGTGTCCATTTATTAAGTCTTTAAAAGAAAGATTTGTGATCATATTGCCTCCTGTATCACACCAATCTATTTTTTGAATTGGAATCTTTATAAAATGAAATACTATTTTCAATTTTTATTTATTTATTGGGTAGAAAATACCATTTGTAAAATATAGTTTTGTTGCAGCAACCTGAAATGACTTAAATTCTTTCCCTTCCCAGGGTTCCAAATAACAGCAGAGCCAGCTCCAATGAAGAGTCAGCCATGAAGAGCAGTGTGAGCAGAGTCAGCAACTCAAATTCAAAAATGAGGTATGCAGTAGTTACATCTTTTGAGAATCTAGAATATTCACTTTTGTCTTTGTCACAAGAAAACAGAGTAGAGAATGGGGCTGTGCATGCTGCCCTTGCTCTTGTCACATCTGCATCCAGATGTTTATAGATTGATCTAAATTGGGGAAACTATATGCTTCTTAGCTGGAAAATGATTACATGTAAATTCCTACTTTAAAACTGATCCCAAGAAAATACAAGAGTGCTCATAGTGCCCCCAGGCACTGTTGATTGCATCCATCAGTGCTTCAGATTTGATTCCATAAAGGTATTTGGAGTACAGCTGGAAGAGGATAGATCTGGAATAACATATATCTGCTTTAAGGAGCTCCCAGCACACACACACACACACACACACACACACACACACACACACACACGTTCCAAAGCAACGTTTTAGAATAAAAAAAACTCCTTCATTTCAGTGGAACTTGTCAATGAGTCCTATCATAAGCTAGGTGAAATAAATAAGCAGAAATCAGATAGGTGAAACTGATACTCAGCATAAGGAAGTTCAATATTCAACTCAGTTTGGAACAGCAAAGACAATTGAAAAATGCACTTGGTTATTTCAGGATTTCCGCAGATCCAAGTTCTACCATCCCCTTCACAGGAGATCGTCAAACTGATGCTGATATTATAGCTTTCATTAGAGCTAGAAAGAACCTCTTACAAAAAAAAGGTAATCTTTATTAAATATGGTAGTTGAGTAATTTGTATAAAAATTCAGTGTTATCCAG